AACATGAAACATTTCTTAATACTATGTATATATGTATATATTACTCATGCGCTAATCCTTCAGGATTACTTATGTAAGCTAGCCCAAAACTGACATGCGACTTTTAGGGGAGCCAGATTATGCAATTACACAACTAATTTCAATGTCAAAACAACGCGTGTACTGTGTATGACTTTTTGAAAATATTTTCTATGTACATATGTAGTTATTAATCGCTAACCGATACTGAGCCAAAATTAAACAATTTCGCAATAGTCTGCATGGAGCCCAATGTACATATGTACATATGTCCTTAAACATATATTTGCATATGTAAACGCTTGGACACTTAAATACATATCGTATGTACATTAGGGTGGTACAAAACAGTAAAGTCGGATCTGCATTGTATTTTTGGCGGACCTATAAATTATAGTTGCGATGGAAAAATGGTTAAATAACCAATTGGGTATTATTACTGGGAATCTCCTGCAGATAAACAGAGTTTTCTGGTAGAAAAATATTGATTTTTAACTATTCTATACCATTTCTACGAAAAGTGGCATATAAAATACGTGGAAAACTTTGGGCGCTTTGAGCGACCTCTGAACATTTTTGGATTTCAAAATAAAAAAATACGGGTATACTTTTTTCAGTGTAGAACAATCCTAGGGGGTAAGAGCGTAAAAAATCCGACTTTACATTTTCACATTCATCTCGGGACCACCCTAATGTGCATACATATATTTTTGTTAAGGTGTCAGACATGATCGGATTATGTCAGTAAATTAAATAAAAACAATTTTTAACTGAACACATTGAACCATATGCACACTTTTGTATAGTATTTTTAAAAATAGGTACGTTTGTATATATATTGTACGTGTATAGGCGTAAATATGTAAGCGTAAATATGTATGCGTAAATATGTACGTACATACACGATAATTTATGCGCTATTTACGTATGCAATATATTTTTGTTTGCAAGATATTAAAATCACAGAATCGGTGATAAAAAATCACTTTCATACATATACTCATATTCATATTACATTAGGGTGTCTCCTATGTATATAGCTTTTTTCAAAATTGTTAATCCTTTTTCATGGGCTACCTTCTAGTTGGTTTTATTCTATGAAAAAATGGGCTCTGTTGAAATCGTCCTCACTGAGATAAAGCAAAAGGTCAGTCACCGAAAAAGCAAAAGGTCAGTCTGCTTACATATATTTGGTAGCTGCTTTGGTTAGTGTCCATTTCGATTTCATTTCGAGCCAAAAAGACGTAAGCGACATTTTATTGAAAATTTTGTTGTTGATGCAGAAACGTTAATCTCGAAACATTTCTGCATCAAAAAGCAAATTTTGAAAAAAATATCGCTCATGTCTTTTTGGCGGTTAGGACTCTATATATACACACATGCATATGTTCATTCATACATATGTGCTTACCCTGTAGGCAAACGCACTAGTGCCGAACTGATCCGGTTCTAGAGAATTTAGAACCATGACTAGTACGGGTTAATTCGCTTTTGCATTACAATAACTGGCGATTTTAGCATTGCAATGTTCTACGAAGTGTCAATTGCTCACCGCTGCAATCCTTTTTTCGATAGTTCCGAATTAGTTCTAAATTCGAAACCCTATATCTAGATTTCTTGTAAAAAGTTTTTGTTTTCATATTTGCTGTGCCTATATTTGGTGTAGTAAATTTGAATGGAAACGGTTAGAAATAAAATAAATAGTTCGATCTTTTAGAAAACGATGCATTTTTAAGTTTTCTTGCTTCTTGCATCAAAATATAATTTTTTAGAAAAGGCGGACTTGTCAACCTTTCATTCTAAGCTAGCGATATGTAGTTTTGAAAGTAAAATAAAATCCTTTCGCAAAAGTGCCACATTTCGCTGCTTTAGCACTGGCGATAATCTAGTTACTATCGGACTGGTTCGTTTTTGGCGATAAAGAACTAGTACATACTGAACTACAAATTTGCTTCTCTAGTTTCCTTTGTTTTCCCTACAGGGTATTAAGTAGTCATACGCGTCAAAGGCGGATTTCTGTGCATATGCCTGAGAAAAATTCACGCGCAAATAAAAATGAGATTTCCGAGTAATAAAATTTTCAATTGTCGTTCATTCATATTCACGAATCAATGGCTTCACTCCAAAGGCTGTGACATTCAGAAAGGTATATTGTTATTATTACCTGTGCGAACAGGTTCAAAGCGGCTTTTGGCATCTTTTTGTTATGGTCCATTAGAAGAACGACGCTGGGCCAAACTCTTAGCAAAACTTTATAATCACTATTATTTATTTATTATTATTTTATCTTTTTTAAATACCGATTCTACTCAAACACACTCCGGTACGCAAAGTTCGTATATGCCTACATACATACATACATATGTTTATGTACCTTATTATATACTCGCGTAGTATTCAATATTTTCAACTGTTTAACAAAACCTTTTTTTTTATATATTTCAGGTCTTTCATTGTACTTCCAATTGCCACGTCACACATTTGGCCAATGTCAGCAGATTTTGTTTCCANAACTCCTGGAATTTGGCTGCATTGATTCAACTGACAGCGTTGGCTGCCACAGCTTCTATTGAGCTCATAATACGCCTCTATCTGGCGCCTCCAATGCTGCGGCTAATGCACGAAAAATATCGAATTGAAGGTGCTATCGGCAGTGGACGGGAAGTGGGCTCCCTCGAGCAGGGTGATCTCATCAGTTGTCCACACTATCAACGTATCCACAAAACCTTTCGTCGCATCCATATGACAATAGCCATGGGCAATATGACTGTGCTGTTGGCTACATGCCTTCATTTATATTTTCTCGCATCGAAAATACAAATCAGCTAAGGTAGTAGAAAGTGGACTATGCTATGCTACATATGCATATGGGACGAGGATATATCCCCAAAAAAAAAAAAAAAA